TTGATGGTGCCGCTGTGGGGCGCGCTCTCCGCACTATGGTACTGACTATGGCATTGACACAGGTAACATTTTGCTGAGCTATCCCGAGGACGACATCTTCATCGACATCATCAAGGTGCTGGTGGCCATCTCCATCATCCTCACCTTTCCCACCGTCCTTTTCCCAAGCCGCGTGTCTCTCGTACGCATCCCCCCCAGCATACTATTTCCTCTCTTCACCCACGCTCACTGCGTGCTGGTCGTCAATCAGGACAACATCATATTCCCCGACAAGGACATTGCGCCTCACCCCTGGTACGTATGACACTCGGTGCACGATCTTGATTCGTGGAGTGACTGTGGCTCCAATTTACACCAACACCTCCAGGCTGCAGTACTTCATCGGGAAGGACCGACTGCGCACGATGATCGCCACGGCCATGCTCATCGTTCCCGCCTACATACTCTCCATCACGCTCCCCGGCGTCACCATCGTCTTCAGCTTGACCGGTACGCTGCCTCGTTTCTGACGTGTTTCCCTTTGCCCATCGGCTCACACATTCGCGTTCGCAGGGAGTACGGCTTCGACGTGTTGCTCGTACCTCTTCCCGGGCTGGTTCTACCTCAAGTTGTCGGAGCGAAGCTGGAAGGATCCCCGCTCGTGGCCAGTGATCCTGCTGCTCGTCTTCGGCCTCATTTTTGGCACCATCTCCACCGTTATCATCATCCTCGACCTCTTCATCGAAGTACCCTAAAGAGTGTTCTTCCATCCTTGGTTCTTTCTTGCCTGGCAAAGCTACATGAGAGGAGCCCCTGTGAACCGATTCCCCGCGTGGGGCAGAGTCTCGCGCTACCGACTGCGCTAGGACGGCTTCGTTTATGGTTTGTTGAAACTCAGCACTATAAACAGGCCAAGGCAAAAGAATTGGAGGAGAAGGGTATCGATCCCTTTACCTCTCGCATGCTAAGCGAGCGCTCTACCATCTGAGCTACACCCCCGTTGTTAGCAAAAACAGGAAGTGTTGTCAGTATTTCTCGACACCGCTAACTGGATGACCGCTCGCCCCGCCGATCTACATATAGATCGTTGCTGTCGTGAACAATGGAGGGGACGGACTGGTCAGAAATCGTCAAGGAGAAGAAGATATGGGAAGACGACTATGAGGCCCGGCGGGAGGAACTGGATGCCAAGTGGGCCAACGAGAAGGCAGAGGAGGGAGAGTGGAGGCGCCTAAATCGCACGGACAAGGAGCGATTTCTTGATGAATTCACACTCGATGTCAATGGACGCACCTTGCACCTCGAGCAAGGCATTGCCAACTCTCCCGCCTGTCTAGGCCTCACCGTGTGGGACGCGGTACCTTCCCCATCTGTTGTCGAGACGGCTCCCGTTATGTCCCACTGACCGTGGGCACGACATGCAGAGCTTGGTGCTCACCTCGTACCTGGAGACGAAGCACAAAGAGGGTGCGTTCGGCCGGGGCACCAAGGCCATCGAGTTTGGCAGCGGGTGCGGCGTGGTGGGCATCGCGGCCGCTACGCTGGGCGCTACGGTGACCGCCACAGACTGCCAGTGGGTGATCCCCTTGACGCTCATCAATGTGGAGAAGAACAAAGACGCCATCACCGC